TATTTTGGTCTGTTTTGGAGCAGGGAGAGAGAGTAAATCTTCTTTATCTGCATCACGGAGGCGTTTCCCAACACCCATCTCCCTTGAGAAAGAAATGTTTTAGTAACAACTCACAGCTTCCTATAGTCTTGTCCTCTGAGTCAAGCTGATTAAAAAAAATTAGTGTTTGGCTTTTCTAAATATTTATAACTGTTAAAACTATTTTAGATAGGGAGCGGAGCTCACTACAGATGCTGCCTTCTCCCTCACCGGAACCGGAAAGCCTTTACTCTGGCTAGATGCGAGGCTTTCCCTTCTGCGGTGTTGGAAGGCAGTGTTGAGAAAATCCCGAGGGAACAGAGATTCTGCCTTGTGGCTCTGGCAAGATAGAATCTATCGAGCACATAATGCGCAGGTGTAACAGGCATAATAAAATCCGAGGAAAATATATTACACCTCTCTTAAAAGATGTGGCAGGTCAATCGGATTCAGACTACTGTAATCAATTGTTAACTGACCAAAATCGGACTACTACAGAACTGGTAGCGAAATTTTGGGCAGCATGCTATAGCAACCAGAATAGACAGCTAAACCCTTAGACCTTGGTCTTACATTGCTATACAGTGCTGCCTCGCATTGCGATGTTAATTCATTCTGCAAAAATCGCTGTTGAACGAAAACGTTGTTATGTGATATTAAAAAGCCCACAGAAACGCATTAAAACCTAATTAATGCGTTCCTAGGGGCTTAAAACTCACCGTTCAGCAAAGATCCTCCATAGAGCGGCCATTTTCAGTGCCTTTTAAGTGAGGAATCTGTCCCAGAAAACAGCAGGCGGCCATTTTGTTTACCCGGCGGCCATTTTGAAACCACCAATCAGCTGTGTGAAAATGGTTGCTTTGCGATGATCGGTTCCCGAAGCTGGGAACTGATCATCGCAAAGCAAAATTCCCCCATAGGGAACATTGCAAAGCGATCGCTTTTGCGATCGCAAAAAGTTCGTCGCAAAGCGATTTTGTCGCTAAACGAAGCGCTTGCTAAGAGGGGCTGTATTGTATTTGCTGTTTTAGATATTTTACTTTTTGCATGTCTGGTATGGCTCTTTGTAGTGCATACCAGTCTTTGAAGTTTTGTATTCAATTTTGTATGACTTGATGCCGTAACAGTACTGTATATTTTGTCGCTAAACGAAGCGCTTGCTAAGAGGGGCGCCACTGTATTTGCTGTTTTAGATATTTTACTTTTTGCATGTCTGGTATGGCTCTTTGTAGTGCATACCAGTCTTTGAAGTTTTGTATTCAATTTTGTATGACTTGATGCCGTAACAATAAAGTACTGTATGTATGCTTCAACATGATGCTCTGCTGACAATTAGAATAAAATTATCTGTTTGGAAAAGGCCACCAAGAAACATGTGGGCCAGAGTCTTACTGAGGATTTACAGAAAGTGTAATTTCATAAACCACAGCAGCAAATTGCCACTAATTAATGAGCATCTCCTTGCATTCCAGGCCCTGTGCCCATTGTGCAACTTAGTGTGCCAGCAGGAAGGAATGTGAGTAGCAATTCATTAACTGGTGGCAATTCATTGCTACAATTCATACTTATGCCAATATAAATCCCTAGCAGAATTCAGGCCACCGTGAATCACCTCACCCTGTACTTTTTTCAGGTTACAGCCTCACACTAAAATGATCACAGTCTCATCATATAGAGTGGCACTGGTAAAATATCTCCTTTCTGATTGTCACAACACAATTAACAATACAGTTAGCAACTTGTAAATTTGCAGAAACAGACTCTCTGATTTGGTTACCCACATCATATGCAATGGGTGAGTATAAAACATAGCACAGAACTGTTGTCCATAGCCTTTCTGCACTGACAGTGTCCTGAAATGCCACGTTATGCTATCACCTCTTTCCTTTTCTTTAGTAGGAAATGTAATTGTTTTTTTAAAAAAAGTCAGCATATTTATGTTTATGGACAAGCGCAGAGGGATGGTGTGAGGGACATGTGGAGAAATGTATCTTGCTTGCTGCCAGTGATCTTTCCATTTTATACATCACAGTAGGGATTTTTTCCTCTCAGGTGGAAAGCAAGCCAAAGCATGCATTATACATCTATTATGCCATTATGTCTACTAGTACTCAGGTACTACAGCTTTCTCCTCTTTTGATTCTGCTCTTGCGGCATCTTTAGCCTTCATTTTCATTCCATTACATACACAAACATTCCATTAAGATTAAACACATTTCACACTCCTCCAGCTTTGCCTTCATGCTGACAGTGAGACAAAGCCCAGGCACCTAAACAGTGAAATGCTCTTGCAAAGCGATCGCTTTTGCGATCGCAAAAAGTTCGTCGCAAAGCGATTTTGTCGCTAAACGAAGCGCTTGCTAAGAGGGGCGCCACTGTATTTGCTGTTTTAGATATTTTACTTTTTGCATGTCTGGTATGGCTCTTTGTAGTGCATACCAGTCTTTGAAGTTTTGTATTCAATTTTGTATGACTTGATGCCGTAACAATAAAGTACTGTATGTATGCTTCAACATGATGCTCTGCTGACAATTAGAATAAAATTATCTGTTTGGAAAAGGCCACCAAGAAACATGTGGGCCAGAGTCTTACTGAGGATTTACAGAAAGTGTAATTTCATAAACCACAGCAGCAAATTGCCACTAATTAATGAGCATCTCCTTGCATTCCAGGCCCTGTGCCCATTGTGCAACTTAGTGTGCCAGCAGGAAGGAATGTGAGTAGCAATTCATTAACTGGTGGCAATTCATTGCTACAATTCATACTTATGCCAATATAAATCCCTAGCAGAATTCAGGCCACCGTGAATCACCTCACCCTGTACTTTTTTCAGGTTACAGCCTCACACTAAAATGATCACAGTCTCATCATATAGAGTGGCACTGGTAAAATATCTCCTTTCTGATTGTCACAACACAATTAACAATACAGTTAACAACTTGTAAATTTGCAGAAACAGACTCTCTGATTTGGTTACCCACATCATATGCAATGGGTGAGTATAAAACATAGCACAGAACTGTTGTCCATAGCCTTTCTGCACTGACAGTGTCCTGAAATGCCACGTTATGCTATCACCTCTTTCCTTTTCTTTAGTAGGAAATGTAATTGTTTTTTTAAAAAAAGTCAGCATATTTATGTTTATGGACAAGCGCAGAGGGATGGTGTGAGGGACATGTGGAGAAATGTATCTTGCTTGCTGCCAGTGATCTTTCCATTTTATACATCACAGTAGGGATTTTTTCCTCTCAGGTGGAAAATAAGCCAAAGCATGCATTATACATCTATTATGCCATTATGTCTACTAGTACTCAGGTACTACAGCTTTCTCCTCTTTTGATTCTGCTCTTGCGGCATCTTTAGCCTTCATTTTCATTCCATTACATACACAAACATTCCATTAAGATTAAACACATTTCACACTCCTCCAGCTTTGCCTTCATGCTGACAGTGAGACAAAGCCCAGGCACCTAAACAGTGAAATGCTCTTCCCTAATAACACTAATCTTGTCCCACTCCTGCACACTGCTGCCAAAATATACTTGTGTTGTTTTGTCACAGCAAAAATAAAGTCTCGCAGCCAAAATAAAGACTCGGAGACTAACCAATTAATTATTGTATCAGCTTTTGTGGACCAGGGCGCTTTATCAAATGGATAAAACATTTCTCTCAATTTGGCAGGTCCACAGCTATGAAGCTTCATAAATGTTGAATTGGGTGCCTAGGATTTTGCAGCCTTTCTTGCCCTACATTTCCAAAAAGCCGTTGGATGCCAGACTTTCTGTCTTCGCAAGGCAGTGGAGAGCATGCAGCCCTGAAGAAAGGCTCTTCGCACATCTTTTCTTTCTTTCAGAAGGACATTCAGTATGTTATGCCAAGGGTCAGTACACACATTTCTCTGGGAGAGGCTCGACATCGTGTGAGGTGTGAAATAAATGCCTGGACAGCACCCCCTCCCATGTGCAATGTAGCACGTGCAATTAGGAATGGGAAATGTCATTTGGTTCTGGTCTCTGGGGCAACAGAATACAAGCATTGGGCTTTTTTCCCTATGTGCCAGGGTTTTGAAGAGTTTTGAAGGTTGCTATCATATCCCTTTTCTTCTCTAGGCTATACACATTGCATTCCTCGCCTTGTTTTTGACATGGCCGACCAAATTAGTGGCTCTCCTCTGAACTCACTCGTATCCTAGTAGACCAGATTATTTCTTTTCCTTTGTAAGGGCAGACCATTAGGCAGATTTTCCTGGGTTGCAGAGAGAGAGCAAATGTCTTAAAATCCTCCCCTCTTTTCCTTGGACATCCGTCTGGTTGCTGCCCAGACTGTCAAGAGTTGGGGGAGGTTTTTATTAGAGATGTCTTACTCTTACCCTGCTCCACTTCTGGTGTTTTTTCAAGTAGGTCTGCGTTGTTATTTACAGGAACTAGATTTTCCATTCTGTCAAGGCTCTTCATTAGGGGGGAAATTTTTTCCAGAAATGCAGATAGATCTTTTACAGCTTTCAATATATAGTCTATAGTTCTCTCCATAGTTCTTCTTATCAGCTTTAATGTATCAGTTGGTTCAAGCCCTCTTTTGGGTTCCTCCACCGTTGTCTTTAGGCCTTCTCGTGTTGTCTTTAGGCCTTCTCGTGAGTTTACCTCATCGTTGGGCTGTCCCGTCTCTATATCAGATAATATTGCTACTTGTGTGTCCTTCTCTCCCTTTTGATTGCTTTCGTCATTATCACTTTCCATTAGGGGAGAAAGGGAATTAGATATATGAGTGGGGGTTAAAAGTTCAGACTCTGCAGTAAAAAAAAGTCCATTACCTCTATTTTGGTCTGTTTTGGAGCAGGGAGAGAGAGTAAATCTTCTTTATCTGCATCACGGAGGCGTTTCCCAACACCCATCTCCCTTGAGAAAGAAATGTTTTAGTAACAACTCACAGCTTCCTATAGTCTTGTCCTCTGAGTCAAGCTGATTAAAAAAAATTAGTGTTTGGCTTTTCTAAATATTTATAACTGTTAAAACTATTTTAGATAGGGAGCGGAGCTCACTACAGATGCTGCCTTCTCCCTCACCGGAACCGGAAAGCCTTTACTCTGGCTAGATGCGAGGCTTTCCCTTCTGCGGTGTTGGAAGGCAGTGTTGAGAAAATCCCGAGGGAACAGAGATTCTGCCCTTGTGGCTCTGGCAAGATAGAATCTATCGAGCACATGATGCGCAGGTGTAACAGGCATAATAAAATCCGAGGAAAATATATTACACCTCTCTTAAAAGATGTGGCAGGTCAATC